GTGTGTGTGTGTGTGGTCGTCCTGAAGAACATCCTCTTCAAAAGGTGCTTACTGATAACACACTCAGAACCTGCTGACTTCGTGATGTAGATAATCACACTCATTTTTTTAAAGGCTGTCGTTGATTTTTCTGCTTATCTCAGCGCTCTCTCTCTCTCTCTCTCTCTCTCTCTCTCTCTCTGTGTGTGTGTGTGTGTGTGAGTGAGAGAGAGAGAGAGAGCAAGTGTATATGTGTGTGTTGTGTGAGTGTGAGAGAGAGAGAGAGAGTGAGAGCAAGTGTATATGTGTGTGTTGTGTGAGTGTGAGAGAGAGGGTATATGTGTGTGTGTCTCTCAGGGCGTCTCGTTCGTCTTCAGATTCAGTGGAGCCAAACGCCGCTGGGGTTTCCTTCTCCTTCTCCATGACCAGTGTGTAGATCACGTTATGGTCTCTGCCTGCATCTTCACAGGAGGAAACCTCACCGTCTGAGTGAGATCAGCAGCGACAGCTGTCCATCAGCAGTCAGAGACACGCGTGGCTGAGAACCTTCCTGTCAGGAGAGATCAATGCATGATGTGCAGAGATGAAGCCAGCCAGCCCTGATCCTGCACTCGCCAGGATTTCACTGAACTAACCACTGTTTAACTACAGTATTTGCAGTAAAACCGTAGTCATCGCGATTAATCAGAAATAGTAAGTGCTCTTAAACTCCACCCCTGCAAACTCGAGAGCCACGCCCACATCACAACATCCAATCAACAACTGATGCACAGAGCCAAGCCCCGCCCCTCCCTACATTTGTTCTTCTTCGCTAATCCATTTCACTCAGAAAAGTCTGGCAGGACGAGATATAAAAAAAAATATCAGAATTGCATGATTAACTCGCAATTCTGAGAAGAAGTAATACAAGATATTAGAAGTATACATTTTGCAAATCTGTTTTGTTTGTTTCATGGAATTCAAATAAAAAAGTAACAGTGACTTTTCTCAGAATTACGAACTCCTCAGAAGTCTGAGATAAAACATCGCAATTACCTTTTTTATTTTTTTATAAAAGCCGAACTCATTTTGGTAATTTATTGTGATGATCCCCTCATGCATATTTTGGACATGCCAGTCAAGTTGAATTAATCAATATTAATTAAAAAGTCATTAAGCGCTCATCTTTTAATGAATAAGAGGTGTTGTTGATCCAAACCTGAACGTGGACTGTTTTTTAATAACAGACCTGTGCGGTCGGGCTCATTAGTATTCATCGCATGGCCGCCGTTACTACAGACATCAAAGAGTCCCTCGTAAGAGCCTCACATCACCTACGAGCCCCTGGATGTCAAGAGCTTCGCGGCTCTATCGCGCCTGACGCCTCCTTTGTGTGGAAGCATTTAATCCGGCGGGTAATTCCAGCGCTCGCGATACGAGCAGAATACAGACGCTCCGGGAACGCTGTGTGTGGGCCAGGGCCACCGTAACGGGGGAAGGTTAGGTTAGGTTAGGACAGGACGATTCCAAGGGCCTGACAAGGAAGAGAACCCACCCCCGAGTCAATATGCTGTTCAGGGGGCCCAGAAACCATAGTGGCGCCCCTGGTGTGAACGCCTCTCTCTCTCTCTTTAGGAGTCATAGGATGCCCATTTTCCACAAGTTGATATGATTCTTTAGAGTTTTAATGAAAAGTCTGGAACATAGTTTGGTTAAAATTTCTCAATGGTAGTGTAAAAACCTTTTTTTACCTCGTCAAAAACAGCTCTTTTCAGATCAAGCCGTTTTGTAGCATTTTCCTTTAAATGTTAATGAGCTCTGCTGACTCCGCCCCTCTCTTCCGAGCCGCTCTCTGAGAGACTGTTTACTTTAGCCGCATTCATCGTGAAACTTGCTAATTAGCACATTATTAGGAAAGGCCATTTGCAAAGATTCATTACAAAACCTTACACTCACTTCTTCTGGAGGTGAAGCTGGATCACGAATGATTCACGCGAACATAGACGCATTTATGTAGATCGGGGGCGCATTCCCTTCAGAAACAATGTAATCCACTGCGTCTTCAGCGGCTCAGATGTCGGGAGTAAATGTGAGAAAGGGGTAAACATTTAACACGATTAAAAAAAAAACACTGGGGGGATTTTTATCATTATAGGGTGGTTGTGTACACACTGCCAACACACATTTCAGTTCAAACAACGTGTAGCATCCTATGACCCCTTTAAGAAAAACGTCATCACAGTGACAGAAGTCGCCTGGATTCCTTTTCAGACAGAACTGATTCATGTATTTGGGTATTTTTAATAAATCTGAGGGGATTTGAGAGAGAAAGCCATGAGTGTCGGTACGCTCCGGCGGGCACAGAGAGGCATATTGTGCCCACGCCGCAGGACTTTAATTAACGTATTAAAAGAGGCAGACGGGCGAAGTTTGGCTCGCTTGAACTTTCTGTCAAGAAGCACGAAGGTTTCCCGCGCTCGCTCGCTGGCAGACAGACGGTAAAAATGGCGGCATGAACGCCGGACATGGTCTCGCTGCTCTCAGATGAGTGAGACAGCAGCTGTCTGTATATTTAGCACACAGGCATGAACACTATTCAGACATATCCTCCCTCAGCTGCTCACTAACACACAAGCACATGAAGATTAAAACATGCTCCGATATCAACTACCAAAAACACACGATCGAGTGGACAGGTGAACATTCCTGTTACTCCAGTCTTCAGTGTCTCATGATCTTCAGAAATCAGTATAATATCCAGTCACAAATACAGAGTATGGACCATACTTGGCAAATGTCACGACTTTCACTTTCAAGACAGTTTTTTGCGCTCTTCTCCATGATTTGTTTTAGCAGTCTATAGTACTCCATGACCGATTAGTACAGCCCGAAACACGACAATAATTTGACCATTTTCAGCAGCAATAATCAGTTGTGTTCTGTTCGGTTCAATGGCATTGTTTACGCTCAGTGCCACCAACATGGCCGACTTCCGGATTGATGACATGTCGTGAAAACACTCTATAGTTCAAACAAAGATCACAGTCTCGCGCATCTCTGAGAGAGACACACAGCGGTGTTTCCTTACTGAATGATTCAGCGTTTTGAATTAATCATTAATGATTCAGTGACTCATTCATAAAGACAGGCACTCGCTTCATTCTTGAATAAATCAGCTGTCTGAATGAATCGTTTGAATTAACGACTCAATGACTCACTTATTAAGACAGTGACTTGCTGCCACCTACTGGCGGATTACTTTCATGTTTAAAAGTCGCTTATCTTTGCATTTATTTCCAACATTTCATATTTGTATATTTTTTAAAAAACTGGTTTAAAACAACAAGTTCATAACATTATTTATGCTGTTGTAATTGTGCAGTGTAAATGCATTCATGCCACATTTCAGCTTCATTAAACTGTGTAAATGCATCCGAATGCCACTTCAGCTGTTTCTGTTTCTTCTTTAGTGGAAAGATCCGTTTTGTTAATACTGATTTCATTTAACAGTGTGTCTTCAAGTGAAATTATTAATAAAATTTAAGAATTTGATATGAAAGATGACGTAAGGCTAGGGGAAATGCCCTGGAAATCCATTTAAATACATTTTAGCATGCAGTAACATTAGTCATATAAAACGTAATTTCTGTCTCTGATTGAGAGTTTAGAGTGTTTTATCCAGTCGAAGCTCTTTTAGTGTAATTGTACAAACGTCCAGCTTCAGCTCGAGCTTCACGTGTCACATCTTGACTGATTTTTCTAAAGTAAACGTAGGAATAAAATTGAGCTGTTTTTCCTCCATATTCTCAGTTTATCAGAGCCATAAAAGCCAGATGGATCAGATATTATACAAAACATAAAACTTTATTTTTTTAAATATTTTGTCTAAATGTTCAATAAATGGTTTTCCATTTAAAAAATGTATTATTATTATTTCATATGTCAGGCTTTACAGGGTAGAGTTGTGTGCTTCAACCATTACTGAGACTTTTGTATGTAAATGGTGGAGAGAAAAAAAAGCTGAAATCTTTTGATATATAATTCATGAGAAAGAGAGAATTTCAAGTATGCTCTCCTGACTTTTGGATAAACATATTTGAGGTTCTTTGATAATCTGTCTTAAGCTGCGTCTGGGCATGCGTGACCTCTGACCTCTGACCTGCAGCATCATCTGGGGTTCAGCCCTGCTGTATCACAGACAGACACTCAATGATTCTGATTTTCATGTGCAACTGGAGTGACAAAGGAATGCGAATGGAATTTCAATTATGATTTTGTACCAATATAGAATCCTGCAAATTAGATCCTGCTGGATACAATGTAAAAATATACTTCAGTGTTACTTTACTGTTATTATGTGTTTTTATGAACATTTTGGATTAGCTTTTTTTTTTTTTTAGTTTAGATTAGTTTATTTATTTTTTATACATTTAATTATGGGTATGTGTTTTTTTTTTAATATATTTCCATTTAGGTTTAATTTATTTTTATTTCAGGTTTAGTTTTAGGTTTATTTATTTCAGCTAATAATTTTTGTGCTTCGACGTAAACTTATTTAATGTCTAATATTTATATTTCATTTTGTTTCAAGTTCATTTCAATTACCAAAAACATTTTTAATAGTTTTCGTTTGAGTTAATAGTAACCCTGGTTCCAGTAAGATCAAATATAGTCTTATTTTAAGTTCCAGTTATAGCAACTTGTGCTTTGCGAGTTGTTAAAAACATTTATTATTAATTTATTATTAAATGTATAATTTAAAATATGATGGCAATTTGTAGGAAAGGCTTTTATTGTTTTTTTACCAGTTAACTTCTACATGCAAGTAGTGTTGTGTGACGTGTCAATATAAACACACACACACACACACACACACACACACTCACTCACACACACACACACACACACACACGCAGCCTTTTTTTCTACGGGAACTGATGCAATAAGACCGCTCTGTTGCAAACCCCGCCCTCGCTGTATCCGCTGCGCTGATTGGTTTGACGCGACAGCATCTCGTCTCTCATTGGTCCGTCCGTGCGTCAGTCAGTGCGCCGTCGCGCTGCACATAGAGGGAAGGAAGCCACGTTGACATCAATTAGTGTCTTCATCGTTTGATAAACTAGAACACCGAACCGAATCTTCCGTTCACCGTGAATCTCGGCGGAGGTGAGAAAATATTTCCTAAGATGATGAAATATTTAGACAGTCATGATAATGACAGCATAAGGAATCATCATTCATATGCACTGATTATACTAACAATAACAACCTATCTAGAGTGTATTTTATTGTGTGTAATAACAATATTACTTTAGTTGATGTACAGTGAATCTAAATAAATTATGCAAATGGATTTGATTTTGCAGTGTAGCGTATATTATGACTGTAATCTCTGCTACAATGTAACAAATAAGTGCAATTGATGTTACATAATTATTGCAATTTATTATTTTCCTCCAGCTTTATAACAGGTTCTGTGTTAACAGTAGATCATGATACTATCAATGCCAAGGTTATGGTTTTGATTCCCAATCAATGCATGAACTGAATAAGCATATTTTTAATGCCATGCAATGCACGTTGCTTCAGATGAAATATGTCATTTTTATTCATGTTGTGTTTTTTTCAGGTGTGTCTGTCATCAGGATGAGTGTGGGCTTCATCGGAGCGGGTCAGCTGGCACATGCCCTGGTCAAGGGCTTCACAGCGGCGGGTCAGAAACGGGTCGAGATGACCGTCCACTAACACTGACTAATGAACTTTAGTCTCTCGACTGATCAGGACCCTGTTTACATACACTACTGGTCAAAATACCTGCTCTTCTGCTCAGCAAAGCTGCATTTATTTCATCAAAAATACTAAAAAAATGTTGAAATATTTTTAGAATCTAAAACAGCTGTCTTCTGTGGTTTTATCACGGTTTAAACAAAAATATTGTGCAGCACGACTGTTTTCAACATTGATAATAATCAGAAATGTTTCTAATAATCAGCATATTATACTGATTTCTGAAGATCATGTGACACTGAAGACTGGAGGAATGATGCTGAAAATACAGCTGCGCATCACAGAAATACATTACACTTTAACAGAGATTCACATAGAAAACAGCTATTTTACATTGTAATAATATTTAAAATTTTTACAGTATTTTACAGTAGCCTTGCTGAGCAGAAGAGCATATCTTTTGGCCATCATATTTCTGTGGTTCATGCAGTAACTAGTTCGTAGTGTCCATGTCTGTGAAGCTCCAGAAATGACAAACCACGCAGTTAAAGTGTCATAGTGGTATTTATTCCACGTCTTGTTGTTTTTGGTTTCTGAATCGGTTCACTCCTCATATTTCATCCTTGTTTGTCTGTTTTTCAGGTGTAATTGCGGCGAACAGAATCACAGCGAGTTCACCGGACACAGATCTGCCGACAGTCTCCGGCCTGCGGGTGTGTAAACCTGAACCATGTGTGTGTGTGTGTGTGTGTGTGTGTGTGTGTGTGTGTGAGAGAGTGTGAGAGTGTGTGTGAGAGTGTGTGTGAGAGTGTGAGAGTGTGTGTGAGAGTGTGAGAGTGTGTGTGAGAGTGTGAGAGTGTGTGTGAGAGTGTGAGAGTGTGTGTGAGAGTGTGAGAGTGTGTGTGAGAGTGTGAGAGTGTGTGTGAGAGTGTGAGAGTGTGTGTGAGAGTGTGAGAGTGTGTGTGAGAGTGTGAGAGTGTGTGTGAGAGTGTGAGAGTGTGTGTGAGAGTGTGAGAGTGTGTGTGAGAGTGTGAGAGTGTGTGTGAGAGTGTGAGAGTGTGTGTGAGAGTGTGAGAGTGTGTGTGAGAGTGTGAGAGTGTGTGTGAGAGTGTGAGAGTGTGTGTGAGAGTGTGAGAGTGTGTGTGAGAGTGTGAGAGTGTGTGTGAGAGTGTGAGAGTGTGTGTGAGAGTGTGAGAGTGTGTGTGAGAGTGTGAGAGTGTGTGTGAGAGTGTGAGAGTGTGTGTGAGAGTGTGAGAGTGTGTGTGAGAGTGTGAGAGTGTGTGTGAGAGTGTGAGAGTGTGTGTGAGAGTGTGAGAGTGTGTGTGAGAGTGTGAGAGTGTGTGTGAGAGTGTGAGAGTGTGTGTGAGAGTGTGAGAGTGTGTGTGAGAGTGTGAGAGTGTGTGTGAGAGTGTGAGAGTGTGTGTGAGAGTGTGAGAGTGTGTGTGAGAGTGTGAGAGTGTGTGTGAGAGTGTGAGAGTGTGTGTGAGAGTGTGAGAGTGTGTGTGAGAGTGTGAGAGTGTGTGTGAGAGTGTGAGAGTGTGTGTGAGAGTGTGAGAGTGTGTGTGAGAGTGTGAGAGTGTGTGTGAGAGTGTGAGAGTGTGTGTGAGAGTGTGAGAGTGTGTGTGAGAGTGTGAGAGTGTGTGTGAGAGTGTGAGAGTGTGTGTGAGAGTGTGAGAGTGTGTGTGAGAGTGTGAGAGTGTGTGTGAGAGTGTGAGAGTGTGTGTGAGAGTGTGAGAGTGTGTGTGAGAGTGTGAGAGTGTGTGTGAGAGTGTGAGAGTGTGTGTGAGAGTGTGAGAGTGTGTGTGAGAGTGTGAGAGTGTGTGTGAGAGTGTGAGAGTGTGTGTGAGAGTGTGAGAGTGTGTGTGAGAGTGTGAGAGTGTGTGTGAGAGTGTGAGAGTGTGTGTGAGAGTGTGAGAGTGTGTGTGAGAGTGTGAGAGTGTGTGTGAGAGTGTGAGAGTGTGTGTGAGAGTGTGAGAGTGTGTGTGAGAGTGTGAGAGTGTGTGTGAGAGTGTGAGAGTGTGTGTGAGAGTGTGAGAGTGTGTGTGAGAGTGTGAGAGTGTGTGTGAGAGTGTGAGAGTGTGTGTGAGAGTGTGAGAGTGTGTGTGAGAGTGTGAGAGTGTGTGTGAGAGTGTGAGAGTGTGTGTGAGAGTGTGAGAGTGTGTGTGAGAGTGTGAGAGTGTGTGTGAGAGTGTGAGAGTGTGTGTGAGAGTGTGAGAGTGTGTGTGAGAGTGTGAGAGTGTGTGTGAGAGTGTGAGAGTGTGTGTGAGAGTGTGAGAGTGTGTGTGAGAGTGTGAGAGTGTGTGTGAGAGTGTGAGAGTGTGTGTGAGAGTGTGAGAGTGTGTGTGAGAGTGTGAGAGTGTGTGTGAGAGTGTGAGAGTGTGTGTGAGAGTGTGAGAGTGTGTGTGAGAGTGTGAGAGTGTGTGTGAGAGTGTGAGAGTGTGTGTGAGAGTGTGAGAGTGTGTGTGAGAGTGTGAGAGTGTGTGTGAGAGTGTGAGAGTGTGTGTGAGAGTGTGAGAGTGTGTGTGAGAGTGTGAGAGTGTGTGTGAGAGTGTGAGAGTGTGTGTGAGAGTGTGAGAGTGTGTGTGAGAGTGTGAGAGTGTGTGTGAGAGTGTGAGAGTGTGTGTGAGAGTGTGAGAGTGTGTGTGAGAGTGTGAGAGTGTGTGTGAGAGTGTGAGAGTGTGTGTGAGAGTGTGAGAGTGTGTGTGAGAGTGTGAGAGTGTGTGTGAGAGTGTGAGAGTGTGTGTGAGAGTGTGAGAGTGTGTGTGAGAGTGTGAGAGTGTGTGTGAGAGTGTGAGAGTGTGTGTGAGAGTGTGAGAGTGTGTGTGAGAGTGTGAGAGTGTGTGTGAGAGTGTGAGAGTGTGTGTGAGAGTGTGAGAGTGTGTGTGAGAGTGTGAGAGTGTGTGTGAGAGTGTGAGAGTGTGTGTGAGAGTGTGAGAGTGTGTGTGAGAGTGTGAGAGTGTGTGTGAGAGTGTGAGAGTGTGTGTGAGAGTGTGAGAGTGTGTGTGAGAGTGTGAGAGTGTGTGTGAGAGTGTGAGAGTGTGTGTGAGAGTGTGAGAGTGTGTGTGAGAGTGTGAGAGTGTGTGTGAGAGTGTGAGAGTGTGTGTGAGAGTGTGAGAGTGTGTGTGAGAGTGTGAGAGTGTGTGTGAGAGTGTGAGAGTGTGTGTGAGAGTGTGAGAGTGTGTGTGAGAGTGTGAGAGTGTGTGTGAGAGTGTGAGAGTGTGTGTGAGAGTGTGAGAGTGTGTGTGAGAGTGTGAGAGTGTGTGTGAGAGTGTGAGAGTGTGTGTGAGAGTGTGAGAGTGTGTGTGAGAGTGTGAGAGTGTGTGTGAGAGTGTGAGAGTGTGTGTGAGAGTGTGAGAGTGTGTGTGAGAGTGTGAGAGTGTGTGTGAGAGTGTGAGAGTGTGTGTGAGAGTGTGAGAGTGTGTGTGAGAGTGTGAGAGTGTGTGTGAGAGTGTGAGAGTGTGTGTGAGAGTGTGAGAGTGTGTGTGAGAGTGTGAGAGTGTGTGTGAGAGTGTGAGAGTGTGTGTGAGAGTGTGAGAGTGTGTGTGAGAGTGTGAGAGTGTGTGTGAGAGTGTGAGAGTGTGTGTGAGAGTGTGAGAGTGTGTGTGAGAGTGTGAGAGTGTGTGTGAGAGTGTGAGAGTGTGTGTGAGAGTGTGAGAGTGTGTGTGTGTGAGAGTGTGTGTGAGAGAGAGAGTGTGTGAGAGAGAGTGTGTGTGAGAGAGTGTGTGTGAGAGTGTGTTTTGAGCCGTCTGCTGTTTATAGTATAACATGTTCTTCTCACCTTCCTTGATGCTTTCTCAGAAAATGGGCATCAATTTCACTACCAGCAACAAAGAAGCGACACACAAGAGCGATGTTCTATTCCTGGCCGTCAAACCGCACATCATCCCGTTCGTTCTGGATGAAATCGGTCCAGATATCGAGGACCGTCACTTGATCGTCTCCTGCGCCGCTGGAGTCACTATCAGCTCTATTGAGAAGGTGCAAGACACGCCACTTAAACATTAGGACGATTGCTTTACTGATGCACACAATGCTTTTAGTGACGTCATTAACAACTCGTTTACTTCTCTACGCACCTGTGGGTTTAAAAATAATAGTTTACCTGAAAATGAATGTGCTCACCCTCAGAGATCAGGATGAGTTTGTTTCTTCATCAGGTTTGTAGAAATGTAGCATTGCATCAGTGTCTCACTGCAAGTGAATGGGTGCCGTCAGAATGAGAGTCCAAACAGCTGATAAAAACATCACAATAATCCACAGCACTCCAGTCCATCAGTTAACATCTGGAGAAGACAAAAGCTGAAACACATCCAGCATTAAGACGTTTTTAACTTGTGTGTGTGTGTGTGTGTGTGTGTGTGAGTGATCCTAACGTGTGTGTGATCCTGATGTGTGAGTGATCCTGATGTGTGAGTGATCCTGACGTGTGAGTGATCCTGACGTGTGTGTGATCCTGATGTGTGTGTGATCCTGACGTGTGTGTGTGTGTGTGCAGAAGCTGCTCCAGTACCGCGCGGCTCCTAAAGTGATGCGCTGCATGACGAACACGCCGGTGGTGGTGCGTGAGGGAGCGACGGTTTACGCCACAGGAACTCATGCCGAGGTGGAGGACGGGAAGCTCCTGGAGCAGCTGATGGCCAGCGTGGGCTTCTGCACCGAAGTTGAGGAGGATCTGATCGACGCCGTGACGGGCCTCAGCGGCAGCGGACCTGCTTACGTGAGCATTTACACCGAAAGACCTACATACTGCACTGCTCTGAATCTAATGTAAACCGTGTTTTACCAGGAGAGACTCTACTGCTCAAAAGTCAAACGGAATAATCAAGAATGTTTCTGAAAGAGTCTCTTCTGCTCAGCACGGCTGCATTTATTTGATCAAAAATACTGTAAAACATTTGAAATATTATTAAAATGTAAAACAGCTGTTTTCTATGTGAATCTCTGTTAAACTGTAATGTATTTCTGTGATGCGCAGCTGTATTTTCAGCATCATTCCTCCAGTCTTCAGTGTCACATGATCTTCAGAAATCAGTATAATATGCTGATTATTAGAAACATTTCTGATTATTATCAATGTTGAACACAGTCGTGCTGCACAATATTTTTGTGGAAACTGTGATACATTTTATTTTTCAGGATTCACAGATGAGTAGAAAGTAAATCTTTGATGAATAAAAGTATGAATTTATGTTCTTTTTATTTCACCTAAAACTTTTGAATGGTAGTGTATCACAGTTTCCACAAGAATATTGTGCAGCACGACTGTTTTCAACATTGATAATAATCAGAAATGTTTCTAATAATCAGCATATTATATTGATTTCTGAATATCATGTGACACTGAAGCCTGGAGGAATTATGCTGAAAATACAGCTGCGCATCACAGAAATACATTACAGTTTAACAGATATTCACAGAGAAAACAGCTGTTTTACATTATAATAATATTTCACATTTTTTATCAAATAAATTCAGGCTTGCTGAGCAGAAGAGAAAACAACATTAAATCTTAATTCCAAACTATTGACTGGAAGTGTAACGTCTAATAGATGTATTTAAAAAAAAATTGTATAGAGTATAAAATCCTAAATGTTTTGTTTTCTTTCAATATGAATGTAGCCCTGCTCCTGACATGGTGTTAGAAATAAATAAATAAATAAACACTAACTGTGTGTCTAGTAGAGATGATGTAAAACACTTCATGCATTGTGTGTGTGCTTGTTGTCAGGCGTTCACGGCTCTTGATGCTCTGGCTGACGGCGGGGTGAAGATGGGGTTGCCACGGCGACTGGCGGTCAGACTGGGAGCACAAGCTTTACTGGTACGTCATATAACTCAAGATCTCATGCAGTGCATGATGCAAACATTACACACAAATTCTGCATCTATTAAAGAACTTTATGCTCTTTTTGTGCATTGTGAAACTCCTCCATCACCAGTGCGGCACGTGTTTGTCGTGTGAAGTATTGGTGGTGAGAAACACGCTTGTCTTCGTTCTGTCTTAGGGAGCAGCTAAGATGCTTCTGGACTCGGAGCAGCACCCGGGACAGCTGAAGGACAACGTCTGCTCACCAGGTGGCGCTACCATCCACGCACTGCACTTTCTGGAGAGCGGAGGCTTCCGGAGTCTCCTCATCAACGCCGTGGAGGCCTCCTGCATCCGGACCAGGTGACCTCAGCTGCTTAATACTGGGTTTCTGTCGGGTTTGTGTTCGTAAGAGAGCGATTAATCAGCTGACTCTGCTGGGATCATTTGGATTGGCTGATTAACACAAGTGTGCCAAACGCTGATGGCCTTATGGATCATGCACATTTTTCTTTTAAGGAGTTTTGAGGAAATATTGAGCAAAATAATAAGTGTTCAATTAACTTCATGCTGTTTACTGTCAGAAAACAATTGCACATATTTTGCCTTTCGGGGTACTACAGCTTTAAAGCCTTGAAATGTGCTTTAATTTTTCTGGATTTAGTTTGGTTAAATTAATGGTTAAAGCATGTTTAATTAAAATTATGAAATGTATAGAGTTTAACTACAATTTATCAAATTTTAGGGCCCTATGAAAATCTTTATGAAATCTGTTTTATTTTTTCCCCCAAATTAAATTTTTCTGTAATTAATTTTAATGGTTACATTTTAACAATCAAAAAGCATGTCAAATCAATTTAATTTTATAAAACTTAAAAATGTTTCTATAATATGGCCCAATTAAATGTTTTATTTTCTCATACATTTAGTTTTAAATTTTCTTATTTAACACAAATTTATTTAAAATGGTGGTAATAAAATTAATCTATAAACATAATTCCTTAATTTAATTAATCTACACTTCAAATGACAATTCAACAATTCCTTTTTTTTTTTTTTTAACAAACAATCTGCTGCACAACAGAGGTTTACTGTTCAAAGGAAAACATGGATGAAAAATTGTGTGAAATTCCCTCATATATTTTTATTATATATTATAACTTTGAGAAGTACATTCTACAGTGCAATAATAATATAACTTTTCTCAAGTTATAACTTTTATTTTGGCAGGTAAAGACTTTTGATTAAAAACTATGTTCAGATACACACAAATTCAAATTAAATGCTTGTGAAGTGAACCTAAAGTTTGCATGCTAGTGCTTTAGAGTAGTAACATGTACTCTTGATTTAACAATATGTACTTTTTAGTGTTAAATAAGGTGGAAAGACACCCCAAGAGAACAGTTTTTGCTCATTTCTCCTGAGCGTATTCTTTGGCGTTATACTGGCCTTCTGTAAGCTGCTTTCTAGCTCATTTCAGCTTCTCAAACCACACATTTGTAGTCTAGTTAGAGTAGTCTGTTTCATGTCTGTTAGTCGCTCACACCTCCTGTTTTCCTCCTCGCAGGGAGCTGCAGTTTCTGGCCGATCAGGAGAAGATCTCCCCCGCCGCCATCAAGAAGACAACGCTGGATAAAGTGCTGCAGCAGCCGGGCGTCTCGTCCACATCAGTCGCCACCAAGAGCAGAGTGAACCTGTTCAACAACAGGAGCGGCGTCAAGAAGTGAACACACGCACACACAGGACGATACAAGAACTGTGCTGCCTGTCCACACACACATTCAGATTGAATGCATTATGGGTCTGTGCTTGTGCTGACAGTGCGCCTCCTGTTACACTGGTACAGTATTACACCGGGAAACACGTGTCATAAAGAGTGTTATTAACATTATTATTATTATTATTATTAACACCTTCATATCTTTAAAGTCCATGAAAATTCAAAGGGAATAATGGAAATCGTTTCCAGATGGGTTTTTATGTCTATGGTCACTTTGTTCTAGGATGAAACTGGACGCATGACATATTTTGACTCACGTTTTGCACACATGAACTGTCAGACTTGTTGATTTTGTTTTGGTTAACAAGATATCAGAACTTCCTTAAGCTACGCCCTGGCAACAACTCTAAACACCCTATAGCAATGCCCTGGCAAAACCTCAAAACACCCTATAGCAATGCCCTGATAACCCTATAACAACACCCTGGCAACAACTCTAAACACTCTATAGCAAGGTCCTGGCAACTACCGAAACCCCATAGCAACCCTATAGCAACAACCTGGCAACGATGCATAACAGCCTATAGTAATGCCCTGACAAAAACTCAAATCCCCCTATAGCAACAGCTCAAAGCACCCTATAGTAACACCCTGACAAAAACTCAAATCCCCTATAGCAACGCCCTGGCAACAACTCAAATCC